CTCATACTATTCGACGAAATACCGATTGAGAAACTGTTCATCATTTGTAGTAAAAATAATAAAATTTTGTTTATCATTAAATATCAATGAGAAATGAAATAAATTAGTCATAGTTGATTCACTAACAATCGTTATAGTTAAGGTATGAAGTCGAGTGAGAATGAATTTTTCTTTTTTTTTCTTAATATTAATAATAAATTATTTTCAGGAACCTCTCATGTCCTATTCAGTGAATATGTTATCCTATGATTATAGCACGTTTTCTAATGATAAATGTAATTGGTAAGTTTTCTTTCAAATAATTATTTCAATTAATTATAATTTGTCTTTTATTTTAACAGATCAGTTATTTGAGCATTATAATCAAAATCATAGTACAAGTTTAATAATTGGTTATCTTAAATTAAATATCAAAAAATTTCAATCATCATCAAGAAAAAGTCAACGATCAATAACAAGAACTAGAAATATTGATACAAATGAACAACATCTTTCATTCAGTATTTGACAAATAATGAATGATTTTATTTTCTATGTAAATATTTATTTTTTAATATGTTGATATAACATTTTATATTTGTTTACAACATAAAAGATCATAATGTAATATGAAATTCATTGGAAACACATGAAATTATATTTAAATTTATTTGATTTTGATCAATTATTAATTTCATTTTTATCGTACGTTTCGTTACGAGATTTACAAGTGAAATAAAGCACTTTTTAAAACACGCAGATTAATGCTTTCAGAAAGTCAAGAATATGATTATAGTATAAGAAAAGGTGATGAATTTGATCAATGTCTCTTGTTTGAATTTGATAAGGAAAAAAAGCAGGCAGTAGAACAGGGATGTCAGCTTTACATTAACTTAATGCTTATACTAAGCTGAAATCTTTATAATAGAATTTTTCGATTTTGTAAAAATCATGATAAAAAATTTCTATTTCTTTTAAAATATGCTCGATCAATCTTATCAATTTCTGCAACAACAACAACAACAACGAATATAGAATGAAAATTTTCCACTGTTGATTTGATTCTAAACTATAAAGAAAAAAATCTTCAAGCAGATAATTTAGAGAATATTTTATTAGTAAGATCAGCAGAAAAATATTTATATAAAACAAAAAATTATTTATTTTTTTTTGGTTACTTTTGTTCTAACTCATATTAATTATCTTACCTTAATTTTCTTGAATATTTTTTCAAATAAGATTCTATAGTAAATCTTATGACCTTAATTTATGTTTATATTATGTCATTTCCTTTCCTTCTTTTTTATATTCATGTATTTTATTCTCTAAATTGTCAGTTACTATTTTGGTTAAATAAGTTTAAATAAAACAATGTGCTATAGTAACAATATATCAATTCAGCAGAGTATCTTGCCCTGCTTGCAGGTTAGGGCAGGGTGATTTTTTTACTCTTATATCATTTTTTTTGTCAACAGGGCAGGGCATTGCGTAGTAACAATCATCATATAAACCCCTCCGCATTGTACTGAATAAAAAAAATCAATCTGTCAATACCTGAAGAAAAAAAATATTTGTAAATATTGAGAAAGCTATTTTTAAAGAAGCTGTCTTTCATCTGACCTTTTTTTAATATACCACGGCTATTACTTACGGCTGACTGTGACATAGTGAAAAAAAAACGAAATTACATAGCATATATCGGTCAGACGGAAATTTTTTTTTTTTGTTTCTTTTATTCACATTGAATCGTTACGCTTGAATAAAAAAAGAGAGGATAAAAGCATTACCTTTGCTATGTTTCTCATCATTTATGATAATAACGCATTCGTTGTTATGTCGTTTTCATCATCGTCTAAAAAATCTTGCCCTGCAGATGGTTGTAACAGTGTGGGTATTTTGAAATGTGAAGGTTGTTCACAAATATTTTGTCAAAAACATGTTGATGAACATCGAGATTTTCTTAATTATCAATTAGATGAAATTGCTCTTCAACATGATACTTTACAACAAATGATTACGGAACAGAAAAACAAAGATAAAAATTATCATCCTCTTCTCAAACAAATTGACAAATGGGAACAAGATTCTATAACAAAAATTCAACAAACAGCAAAGGAAGCACGACAACAAACTGAAATATTATTTGGTTCACAAAAAGGTTAATATAGTTAATATAATGAATTTTTATTTGTTAATATTGATTTGTTTTTAGAAATGATATCGAAAGAATTGCATGATCTTGCTGAAGAATTAGAAAAAGCTCGAATAGATGATGATTTTGTTGAGATTGATCTTTGTCAATGGACAAATATGTTAGAAGAACTTAAGCATAATGTTAATAATGTTAGTTCTTCGGCTATTATTAATGAAGATCCAACAAAATTACTTGTAGCTAATATATTTGTTTCTTCACCTATACAACAAAATTTCAACGAAGTTGAACAATTTGGAAAAACTTTTGGTAATGTTTGTATTGCTGAGAATGGTCATTTGGCTTATCATTGTGGACTCGAGAAAGATTTTGCATTTGTACGTGGAATGTACGAATATTCATCTGGCAAATATGAAATTCGATTTGTTATGAACAAGAAAAATCCAACAAATGTTATGTCATTTGATATTATTTCAAAATCTATGCTCATATTAAATAACAAATTCAATATAGAAAAATCAACTTTCGGCTTGTACAGCAAACACAATACTTATCGTTCCATTGCTAAATCGCCATCCTATGAATGTTTTCTTAATATGGCTGATGAAACGGCATTTGAAATTGAACTTTTACTTGATTGTGATAATCAAAGAATAACTTATTTCAATGAACGAACGAAAAATAAACGAGAATTGAATGTGAATATTAGAAGATGTCCATTTCCTTGGCAAATACTTATTTATCTATGTGATGCAGAAGATTCTGTTAGACTTTTGTCGTCAAAAAAATTACTTTGAATATTATTTATGTTATAAATACTTGTTTTTAAATAAACTTATTTTTTTTACAACAAGAACAAAAACTCTTTAGAAATATGGATCTCACCATATTTAATCAAAAATATATATAATCATACACAACTTTTACTTTTAGTAGCGAAAATAACTAAGACAAGAGAATTACTCGAATTGAGAGCCACAGTTTCAGATCATATTGAGTTCACAAGGAGGTCTCAGAAAGACTAGAAAAATTCTAAAACAGTTCGTGTTTATGTCCTAGTTATAATTGTATTGCTAAATTTTCGATCCAGTTTTAGGTATTTACCGAAAAATCAAGTAATGGAATTTTGATCTGAAAATTTTGTTCATAGATAGACCTAATGACTCCGGGAATATTATAAAAGCTTCAGTCGAAAAGAGTGTTCGATTGTTAAAATATTGAATTTCCAAAAAAAAA